ACACACACACACACACACACACACACACACACACACACACAAAATGAGATCTTCAGGATTTTAAGGACTTGGAACTGGGCCTTGCCATGTGGAAGATCCAGCCATACTCATCATTGTTGACACCAGTGATGCTAGGAATGTGTAGAAAATCAGTGGAGGTCAACAGCTCCTGGGATTGCCTGGACAGGAAGATCTCATCCACCATATAACACATAACCTTGAAGGCCTAAGGGGACATACAAGGTCAGGGAACAAAGTCAGAGCTCAGACATTTTCTGATGCCCACTGAGTTACTTTTCCCCCTTCCTTATTAATCCCAGTATGCTCACATATATCCCAAACCTGACTTTGCATAACTTTGTCTCCATTTCACATTCAGCTATGGAAATAAAGTAGTAAACAGGAAAGTTTCCCTGATTATTCTGTCTGAATATTAATTAAATTGTCTTTTAATCTCTTTGTCCCAAAAGAGAACCCATGGCTGGGGGCCTGAGTGACCTCAAAGTGTAGTCCTTGAGTGGGTCTCCCAGGAATGAGTTGATTGAATACGCTGAACTTATGAAAGGGCTACAGTTTCTGACCCCTGAAAGCAACCAGAGCTATGTGAACCCATACACAGGGGTTAGCTGCCCACCCTGTGTAAGAGGCCTTCTTGGACTATCGTGAGAGACTTCTCATCAGGATCCACACTGCAATGGGGTCTGGGTTAATACTTTCTGATCTTCTTGTAAAACAAAACAAGTTTCTTCCCATCCCAATGGCCATGGTCTGACACTTACAGGCAGGTTAGAGTCCTCATGGGTGTGGGTGGCTGTGTAGACGCTGAGATGTAGGAAGTCCTCTTATATAGCATGGGAAGCAGAGTCAGAGTTAATAGGTTCAGAGTCTCTATGACTTAAGCATTGTGCAGACATCTGGTGTTCTGATTTAGATACGAGGTGTCCCCCAAAAGCTCATGTGTAAAATAATGCAAGGAAGTTCAGAGGTGAAATGATTGGGTTATGAGAGCTTTGACCTAATTGGTTCATTAATCCACTGATATGGATTAAACTGGGAGGTAACTGTAGACAGGTACAGAGTGTCTGGAAGAGGTGGGTCACTGGGGACCTGTCTTTGGGACTTACACTTTATCTTTCTCCTGATTGCCATGTCCTGAGCTGCTTTTCTTCACCATACTCTTCTGTTATGATGTTCTGCTTTAGTTCATGCCCAGAGGTATGTAGTCAGCTGTCTATGGGCTAAGACCTCTGAAACTGCGAGCCAAATAAACTTTTCCTGTTTTTTCCAGGTCTTTTGGTCCCAGTGACAAAACACTGACTAAAATACTTAGTAACAATGGATTAAGTTATTCCAGAAGCTGTGCAATGGTCAACACTGGACCTCTGGTCCTGATTTGCTCCCAGACACTCTCAGTCCCTGCTCCATCTGATGCTCTGCCTTTCTTTAAAGTTATTTCCTAACAAGGTAGAGGTCAGAGGCTCTGTGGAAGCTGGGATGGAGCCCAGACTTCCGGGGAGGACTAATGATTGTTGAGGGCCTAAGATCTCACTCTTCCTGAAGCTGGGAAATCGTGTCTCTAAGGGCCTATTTTGGAACCTTTTTGGGCCTGTGTTGACATTCATCATTTATCCCTGTACCCATTCAGGCCTGAAATAGCATAGGTGGCGGTGCTTGAGTGGATAGAAGTTAGCTTCCCATAGAAGAGTAATGGGGCATCCCACAGCCCAAGTCGAGACTCTCAGGGAACATCATCCCTCCCACAGAGTCTCCAGCTATAAGCACACACACCTGTTCCTTGGCTACTGGTACCTGGCCCTGTGGATTGCCTCAGTGACTGTGGAGGGCTGAGTCCCCAAGAAGCCATCACTACTCCCCTCCTCAGGAACCTGCAGTATCTGTTGCTGGAGTAGGGTCTTTTATAGGTTGATTGAGCCAAACTGAAGAGGATCCATCAGTGAGGCTGGGTAGATTTTCCTGTCTGGAAGGTCCTGGTGTCCTCCAAGAGCCTGATCAAGTGCAGGTAAGGAAGGAAGCCTAGCAGGGGCGGGCCATGGGGGTGAGGTGAGCATGGATTCCTCTGGGAAGATTACACTGGGAAAATGTTGAGGATCTGGTCAGGTCCCACACTAGAAACCTTTGAGGTGAGAGAGATCAAGGGCTGCAGACACCCTGGGCATGGTACCCACCTGGCAACTATTCCTGATAAGGGCCTGGAGCCTTCTGACATGTGCAGATCACTATCACCTTTGTCCTGAAACCCAAGCCATGTCTGTGGCCCAGCTCAAGTCCATGGGTGAGGGGAACCTACAGCCTCCCTGTTTTGCTTTGGGATGTGGTATGATGGCCGGTCATGTGGTGAGAAGGGCTGTTGTGTCCCACAAAGCCAGTAACCTTGCCTGGGGACATTTTAGAGGATTCCAGGTGCTTCTCTGGCCATAGGGGACAAAATACTTAGAGCTAAACATAACTGGAAAGGTATTAGTAGTACTAATGGTAGTAATAGTAGTAGTAGTAGTAATACCTGAAGGTCAGTAGCAGATACAGCCACAGCCATATATATTGGAGAGAAATGTCCCAATCCCTGCTTCTCTTCTGACCTGCCCCTCCAGGGCTTTCAGAGGTCTAATAGTGGACTCAATCCTTTATGTTAGGTGTCCTTAGACAGGCCTAAAACTCTCTCTCTGATTTCAGGGGAGTCACCCTGGGACTTGGGGGTTTATGGGATGGTCACATTTCTCCTTCGTCATCTCCACCACCTCCCTACTTCCTGGCACCTTCTCTTCTGCTGCTGTGGGCACCATGCTCACCCACAGGCCACTGTGGAGCAGGACCTGCCCAGGCTCAGATAGAGTTTGGAACCAGCAGGGAGGTGGTGAGGCAATGGGTACCACTGGGAGAGGTGGGTGCTGTTGGAGAGCCACCCTGACTGGGCAGAGGTCATGGAACTAGTGGGCAGTGGGGGGAGCCAGGCCATCTCCCCTTTACCTACCGGCTTTTTCCACCTTCCAAAGCACTGTGCCAGCCCTTCTGAGAACCTTAGGAACCCTCTCTTCACACCTGGATTCACTGATTCACTATCTTTGCAGTAGTGGCCCAAAGAAAGAAATGTGTTGAGAAAGTAGGAAGTAGGAAGTGTTGAGAAAGAAGGAAGCAGAAAGTTTGTCATTTTCACAGGCCAGTTGTGCCAGGGCAATAGGGTAAGCTGCAGTAAGGACAAAGAAAGTGCTCCGAGACAGCAAATGAGACATATGATTTCCAGGGGAAAGCTTACAGCAGATCAGTGACTGCACCAACAAGAGTTAAGTATGGACAAGCCAAACAGATAGCACCTTTGTCCCTCTGTCCCTCAAGGTGCTTTGCCAAACAGTGCCTCCTTGACTCTCAGAGCATTTTGTCCATTGGCAGCTAGCTGGACAAGGACATACATCCCTTCCACAGTGCCCTCAGTTCCATGCCTATCCCCATTCAGAAAGGGGTCTTATATGTTCGACTGAAAAAGCAGTGACATCATCAGCATTAGCTTGCTTGTATGGCCAGTATCCCAAGGAGCAACTGTCCTAGTGTGCCTGCAAGAAAGTAGCTTTTTACAGGTAAAGTAACATGCTCCCAGAGTGCATAAGAGAAAGCGAGTGTCCTTCAATATGTACCTGGACTTTCCAGCTCAGGCTTGCTCTCATTGTTCCCTTAATTTGGTTAGATTTTGGGGAACAGAAAAGAGGCATTCAGGGATATGGTGTTTAATGATTCAGAACTATAACTGAAGAAGCCAAGGAATCCTCACCTGAACAGAATGGACCTTCCATTTGGTGAAGAGATCAGTTTAAACAAAGGCAGGGAGGTGTGGCTGAGCCATTGACCCTGAAAGCTCGTCATCTTCTGGAGCAGAGTTTATTGGTTCCGCTTCGTGGTCTGAGAGGTCTGCACGGGCCCCTCTCTATTCAATCATGGCTCATCTTTTGAAATGCACACGTGAATGTGCACTTCTCATTGACCTCCCCATCAGCAGGGCTTTCACTCTCCCCACTCCATGGAGGGTCGATTTCAGTGCCCCTTATCCACCTGAGAAACATTTAACATTAAATGTTTAACATTAAACATTAAGTGCCTGCTGGTCCCAGCTCTTGGGATCCGGCAGGTCAATCCCAGGTCCGATTCTGCGGGGGAGGCAGGTTCAACACTGGAAGATTCTGAAACACCGAGAACACTGTCGGGATAGAGAGAGCTAGCCTGGGCACCGGAGCGCCCGCCCAGCCGGACATCCCGGAGGAAAACTGGTGCGGGGCTCAACCTCAGCTGTCAGTGCCCTCCGACAACTGGGCCGTGGCCTCCGCGTTCCAGCTCCCAACCGGCTCGCAGTGTCCAGCATCGCCGGGTCCCTTCTCAGCCCGTTTGCGATAATTGTCAGTTATTTCCTGGTCCGAGTAACCAGTACGTCAAAGCCTAGCTCTTAGCTAGGCAGCGGCTCCTGCAATCCCGAGGCTGAGGCAGAGGATAGCAAACTAGAGGCCAGCCTGGGCAACCTAGCGATACCCTGTTTAAAAATAAAATATAAAAAGGGATGTAGCTCAGTGGTGGAGCACCCCTGGGATCAACTCCCAGAATCGAGGATAAGAGGCGAGCGGCGGAGCAGCCAACAGGTCTCTGAAACCCGGAGCTGAGAACCCGCAGAGCCGCTTGTCCCTCGCGTGACCCCGTAAAGACGCCCCGCCCTCTTCCCGTTCCCAGGAAGTGCGCCAGTAGGAGCGGAAGAGCTTACTGACTCGGGTCGACAGCGGTTCCGGCATGGTGGGCGGCGGCAGCGGAGTGGGCGGTGGCCTCCTGGAGAACGCTAACCCCCTCATCTATGAGCGCTCTGGGGAGCGGCCGGTGACGGCGGGCGAGGAAGACGAGCAGGTTCCCGACAGCATCGATGCGCGGGAGATCTTTGATATCCGCCGCTGCTGGGCGCGGGCGGGTTTGGGGGGTCTTGGGGCAGGCGGAGAAGTGATGTCCAGCAGCGGATGGAGGAGTATTCTGGCCAGGTATTCCTGGCGGAGGGTTCTGAGTGGCCAAAAACACACAAGTCCGTTTTCCTTCACTTGACACATCTTATTCGCTCCATCAATGACCCGGAGCATCCACTGACACTAGAGGAATTGAACGTAGTAGAGCAAGTTCGGGTTCAGGTGAGTCACTCCCAGTGTCAGAGGGGAGCAACTTGTTCGGGAGAGTCAGAAAGGCTCCTCTGTACATCAGGGAATGGCTTTCAGCATAGGGACATTTAGGGGTATATTTGGGAGGAGGATTGTCTTGCCTGTTTTTACAGATGTTGAACTGAAGCCCATAAAGTATAGGTGACTTGTCCAAAGCAACAAACCAAGAAGAGGGCCTCTGGACTGGGTATGGCCATGATCCTTGACATCTCCCCACCACTGCCAGGTTAGCGACCCCGAGAGCACAGTGGCAGTGGCCTTCACGCCCACCATTCCACACTGCAGCATGGCCACCCTGATTGGCTTGTCCATCAAAGTCAAGCTTCTGCGCTCACTTCCCCAGCGTTTCAAGGTCAGTTCATTTTGAGACTTGAGGGTGAAATGTCTTGGTCTGCTACTGGGGAAAAAGAAAAGGGAGAGAATGAACTTGAAGAGAACATCAGAGTGGAGTCTGGAAGGATCCCAACTAGTTGAGAACTGAAAGGAAACTTTCTAACTTGATATGACAAAAATTAAAAATTGTGATCTGGTGCCTGGCATGGTGAAGCATGCCTATAATCCCAGTGACTTAGGAAACTGAGACAGGGGGATTGCAAGTTCAAGGCCAGCCTCAGCAACTTAGTGAGACCCTGCTCAAAAGAAAAATAACAAGGGCTGGGGATGTGCCTCATGGTTTTTCAAAAATTGTGATCTAGAAAGTGCAGAAAGTAGTGAGGAGTGTGGCAGAAGGGATATAAGGAGCTGCACATGAATTTGGATTAAGGATGGGGCACAGACATTTATTTATGTATGTATGTATGTATGTATGTGTGTATGTCCTGGGGATTGAACCTAGGAGTGCATTACCACTGAGCCACATCCCCAGTTCTTTTTAGTTTTATTTTGAGACAGGATCTCACTAAGCTGGGGAGGCTGACCTCAAACTTGGAATCATCCTGCCTCAGGCTCCCAAGTCTTTGGGATTGCAGGCATATGCCATAATGCCCAGCTTAGGCAGGCCTTTAAATCAACAGTTGTTGACCAGTTCTTTGGGTAGAGTTGGAGTGGTTGTGGATTGGTTAGAGGGGTAATGGAAGGGCCAGAATCCAGGGGTGGATTGGGAGGAAGGCTCAGTTGGAGGTGGTGCCTGAGGGTTTTGTTGAAGGGGCAGAAGGGGGACTGATGGGTGGGTACCCACTCAGGCTCAGGTTATCTCCTTTCCAGATGGATGTGCACATCACACCAGGGACCCATGCCTCAGAGCATGCAGGTAAGTGTGGGCTGGGGGTGAGGATGGTGTGCCAGGGCTCTAAGCTGTCTGAAGCTTCTCTCACCACAAAGGTTTATAGGCCAACATTGGGGGTGGGGGACTGAGTGAGGGAAATTGCCAGATTCTTTTCAGTGAAGGTGGTGACCCAGTCCAAAGCTGGCCTGACTCAAGTCTCCTGCTTACCATATACTTCCCTCCTGCACTCCTCAAGTATGTAAGATCAGTATTGGAAGTAGACATGAGCAGCCGGGTGAGAAGCATCCTAAAGAAGGCAGGATAGTTGTTAACTCAGGTTATTGGGGTACCCTATTCAAGGGTCCTGGGAAGGATGGGACAGAAAAGCCTTATTGGTGGGGACATACTATTCTAAAGCTCAGAGGTGGACTGGCTGGTAGCCTGGTCAGAGCTTGGCTTTGTGTGTGTGAGCGAGAAACTGGGGATTGAACTCAGGACTTTGCGTATGCTAGGCAAGTGCTCTACCACTGAGTTATATCCCCAGCTCAGAGAGCATGGCTTTGATTCTGCCTTTCTCACTCCTCCCCGATCCAGTGAACAAACAGCTTGCAGATAAGGAGCGAGTTGCAGCTGCCCTAGAGAACACTCACCTGCTGGAGGTTGTGAATCAGTGCCTGTCAGCCCGCTCCTGAGCCTGACTTTGGCCCTCAGCCTGCACACCAGTGTCCTGGCCTCAGCTTCACCCAAGGCTTATGGCTTGTTTTCTTGAATCATAGATGATGAGAAACTAACATTTTGCATTTTGTAATAAACCCTTAATTTATATTCATTTCCCATCATGCCTAAGCATCTTTCATCTTGGCGGAGTCACTTGGGATTTGGGAGAGGGTAGTTATAATGGGTGCCTATGTAGGGCGGATCAAAGATTTGTGGTTCTTTACTTGTTTTAAAAATCTCTCCTAGTGTTTTGATTAGGGACTAAAGTTAAAATTATACAAAAAAAACCTGAAAGAGTAATATGTGAATATACCTTTATATCAAACACCATCAGAAAAATCAATAAAAATAAGATAAAATAGAATAAATTGCCTTACCATAACCACATCCAGTTTTTGAAGAATGTTAGACAATGTGAAGACTGAGAGTTCTAATCTGTGTGTTAATTTCTCAATAAGTCATAGTTAATCACAAAAAAAAAACACCATCAGTAGATCCAACAATTGTTGACCTGTTATAACACTGGCCTTATTTATATGTGTGCATATAAATGTAAGTATATTTTAGAGTAATTTACAGAGACGTGACCTTTCATCTTGACATCTATATAAGATAAACCTGTGTAGTCACAGCACTTTTTTTTTCTTTGCAGTACTGGGAATTGAACCCAGGGGCACTTTACCAGAGCTACATCCCCAGCCCTTTTATTTTGAGACAGAGTCTCACTAAGTTGCTTATGGCCTTGCTAAGTTGCTTAAGTCCTCTCTAAGCTGTTGAGGATGGCCTCAAACTTGCAGTTCTCCTACCTCAGCTTCCTGAGTTGCTGAGGTTACAGGTGTGCACAACCATGCCCAGCAGTTATAGTACTTTTGTTTGGTCAAGAACTGAGCAATTGGTGCTGGGGTTGTAGCTCAGTGGTGGAGCCCTTGCCTAGCACACATATGGCACTGGGTTCAATCCTCAGCACCACATAAAAAATAAAATATTGTGTCCATATGCTAAGGCAGAGGGGGAGGTCTTCATGTTGTTGAGGGTGTACCCTCCAGGGAGGATAGTGGACACCCTCCCCCCCTTCCTTTGCTTCCTGGCCATGAGGTGAGAGGCTTTACTCTGTCACACAAACATAGTGTTCTGCCTCACCACGGATCCAAAGCAACAACCAACAAACAAGGGACTGAAATCTCCAAAACTATGAGCCAAGATAAACCTGTCCTCTTATAAGTTTGTGATAATAGCTTATCCAGCTGATGGTGATGCTCAGTCTTGTTTCCTCATCAAGACAGTGACATCAGCTTTCTCTGCTGAAAGAATCCTGAGGAACCCTTTCTATCAGTCCTCCTAGAGATGTATGACACCCCAGGTGTTGGGTAAGAAGGGGAGCTCAACCCCATGAAGTGATGTTTCAGTTCTGGGGCCTCCGCCTCCACCTCCCCCTGGCTCTGGGTCCTAAGTGCACTTGGTTACTTGGAGAGACCTCAGGCTTAGATACTAGCTCTGCCAGTTAGGAGTTCTTTCCCAGGACTCCCTGCCTTGGGATTCTCTGGCGCAGTTTCTTTCTCTGAGGATAAATGGGAACGCACCGTACCCACTGGGGCTCAGAAGTGATTATGGGCTGAGACCTAAAGAAGCCTCAACAGGAAACCTGGGCACTTGGTAAATCTGTGCTTGAGCACCACTGACAACCTTAAGCCTGTCCTAAGAGTGGGCATTGGACCAAGGGCTTTACACTTACAGTCTAGTTGGATAGTTCTCCATCTAACCCTGTGTAATGGTTGCTTTTCTTATCCCCAATTTGCAGATAAGGAAATGGGCTTAATAAAAAATTCCTTCTAAGACTTCCAACTAGGAAATAAAGGAGAACCTGAGCAGCCTGATAGGTGCTGCTTAGATGACAGAGGACACTGTTGCCTCTAGAGAAGGGCTTAGGCCTACCTGAGACCCCCAACTCCTATCATCATCACAATCAGTTTTTAGGAGTACTGTTGTCACCCAGTGACCAAGGAGAGGCTCTGAATGTGGCTGCCTAAGATCAGAGAGGTGAAGTCTTTAGCCATTGCTCAGTTTTGTTTGGTTTTTACCTGTGATATAGGGACAGTCATGGCAGTACTTAGGACTGTCTGTGGAAATTTAAAGTGGCTCTGGGCCTATCTTAGATGATCTTCCAGACATCAGATTCCCTATTTCACAGATGAAGAAGCTGAGTGCTCTCAAGAGGCAGGGTGATATACCAGGTGATCACATTCTAGCAGTTTTCCCAAGCTGTAGGCCTTACCACATGCACACCTCTGCCCTGATACCCCCAGTTGTCTGAGGTGGCCATGGTGTCTATGTGCAGCTGAAAGTGGGACTCACAGGGAAGGCAGGTGTTGCTGAGTCATTCTGCTGGCCTTCCTGACAGCCAGGCCTTGGTGGGTGAGGGATACCAAGCTGCCCATGCCATATCTGGCATTTCATATAGTCCCCTGGACAGTCTTGACTCATCTGTGCCTGGCCCCTGGCTGCCTGCAGGGCACCATCTGTGCACACTAGGCCAATGCCAAAGGAACTTTCTGGAACACCAGCTGATGTGTGAGGACCTGGGGTGTGGTGGAAGGTGGTGGAGTTTAAGGTTTTTTGATACCCTCTGCCAGGTGTATCTGGCTCTGTGTTTCTGGCCACGACCCCTCAGGCCTTGGTTACCATATTTTTTAAATGGGAATAATCAATCATAGCTAAATGAGATTGTCCCAGGGGTTAGATGACACACATAAACATATGTAGCTATATTTCCATTCATAATCCTGCCTCCCTGAACAACCGCCTGGCACACAGTAGATACTTATTGTAGGTTAATGGAATGAATGAATGGATGGAGTCTTAAAACAGAGCAGAGGCCCTGGAGCACTGGGTTGAGGAGTGAGAAAGTGGGGACACTGTAACTAAGTTCCCTTTGCAACATTTTGTTACCTGAAGAAAGGGGAGAGCATGAGACCCTATAAAGGGGAGTGCTATTTGCATTATTCCTGAGATCTCTGCCCCTTTCCTGGGCAGATCACCATCCTAGAGAGAATGGTGCAGCAGCAAGAGAGTGCCAACAGATTAACTCAACCTGCCCCATCCAACCAACAGTAATAAAAATAGAAGTGTTCTTTCTGAGATATTACCCTGTGCCAGACTTGAGCCAGCTACCTTACCTCTACAGTTCATGTTATTTATCTGAGAAAAATCCCCAAGAACACATTATCCTTGGTCTATACAGGAGGAAACTGAGTCTCAGCCAAGATAAATGGACACACATTATCCTTGGTCTATACAGGAGGAAACTGAGTCTCAGCCAAGATAAATGGACAGCGGTAAACAGCAAAGGATAGAGGGCCCTAGGCCTGGCTCCAGCCTCAATTCTGAACAGGCAGGGGTGTCTCAAGGTCATGTCCTAGGGCCCCTGGCCATACCTAGGCTCGTGATGAGTGTCTCTGGCCTGTTGGGGCAGCTGCCAGAATGCCTGGGGTCTGAGTAGCCCTGTGTGGATGTGGTTCCCTTGGCAATGAAGACACACAGCTGAGGTCAAGAGCTCAGATTACCAGAGGGGAAAGCCAGCAGTGTTTCCCTGCATGGCCCCTGCTGGGAAGGGCTGTAGCTACCACCACCTCCTCTCCCCTTCCTCTGCCCATCCCCCTTACCCATCCACTTCTGCCAGACACTTCCAGGCACCTATGGGCTCTTTCCAGCCACACTGTGTATGTGTTACAGGTGGCAGGGGTGGGGGGAGGCATCACAAGCAGCTATCCAGGATTCCTGATGGGAAGTGGTGTATAGCTCTTGAGACTTCTGTCCTCTGAAGAGAGGCTGGACTAATGGCTTCCTCTTCGCACTGGACATTGTCCAGGAAGCCAAAGCCAGCATGGGACTACCCAGGCCTCTGAAATTCCTTCCTATGGACAGGCCTCCCCTTAGCCCAGCTCTTACCTACTTTTGGGAACTCAGGAATAAGAGGGCCCTGCATGAACCTGCTAACCTTACTTAGCCAGGCCCTCCTCAATTCAATGCCTTCTTAAATGTTGCCAAGGAAACTGACACAGCAGCCAGAGAGCCTGGCCCAGGTCTCCATGACAACCTGTGAGAGCCCACTAGATTTCATCCATGATGTCACCTGAGTCACAGATTGGTACTCTCCACCCCCACCACACTCAAACGTCACAATCCAACGTCAGAGTCTGATACCAAGTTCCTGTCACAGCCTGTCTACCCCCAACCCTCATGCACCCCAGAGATGAGCAAGGTAGGGGGAATAGGTCATGATGCCCGATTTATATAGCTGGGCACCCTAAGACTAGGAGAAGGGCAAGAGTCAGTAGGCTGGAGGCAGAGCCAGGACTAGACACTCTGTCCCCCATTGCCTCTCCTTCCCTCTGTGCCCCAGCCACCACCCTAGATCTGAGGAAAGGTGTGAGCTCTGGACAATGATGGCACCAATGGGTGGTTAAGACATTCCCCATCTCTTGCCCCTATTCTGCATCTATGCCCCTCCTGGGACGGGGTGCTAAACAGCAGGCTCAGCCTGAGGCTATGAAACTGGCAAAGCTTGAAGACTCTAAAGTGGCTGGCCTCTGCCTGAATTTCCTCAGCTCTGGCAACTTTCAGACCAGGAGCAGAATGACCAGGGAGGGCCAGGAGGAGGACTGATATTTTTAGCAGAGTTGCTGGCAGCTGTTTGGCAGGTGCCAGGAGGTGGGGTGGGGACTGAGTTCAACTTTTCCCTTCTCTGGGCCTGTGTTTCCTCCTCAGGATTAGAGCATCTGCATCTGCTTGGTGCTGCCAGAGGGTCCCCCTGGGCTCTCCCCCAGAAGCCCTCTAAGGGCCTCCAGGGGTTTATGAGTGATAACAACCCTCACCCTGAAGGGCAGACTTCTTAGGGCGAATCTCCAATATCCCAGAACAGAGAAGAGAATAGGACTTGGTGTTGAGGCTAGAAGCACGGATTTAGTTTGGTATCTGGGCCTGTGGGGAGTGGGTGTCATAGGCAGAGAAGGGTGAATCTCTGTCCAGTCCACAACTAGTCTACTTACTTGGGCAACAGGCCAGGACTAGGAGAGGGAAGGGAGAATTCACTCTTAAAGGGCCAGACCTAATTCTTCCCCAG